AAATTTTAAGCTCTTCAAAATGATAAATTAATTTAAATGAGGACAGACCTGAGATTATCCAGTCTCAACGAATAATACCCCTGGCCTCTAAGAGACTTAGGGTAATGGGGATAGGCATGTCAGAGACAAGATCGGCACAAGATAGAGTAGGGTTTAGGGTTGTTGTACATAGGGTCACTATGAGTTGCAAGTGACACGACGGTACATAACAGCAACAACAATACCAGTAAGGTGTTTTCCACCCTAACCCTATCACCCCAGTGGGCAGCCCTTTCCTTGAAGCTGTCCATGTGCTCCAGTGATCTTAGCTTTAGATTGAAGGGGAGGAGGGCTTGTCTCAGCTCTATTTTTGAATCCCAAGTTTTTGTCTCTTCTGTAACCTAAGCTTCTTGACTTAAATCTACTACTCTACAAGGGGAATCTGTCCTGTAGAGGAGAACAGCCTCATAGGGTTTCTTAGGATGGACCTCTTTATGGAAGCTGACCTGCTTCATCTTTCTTCTTCGGAGCAATTGAGGTGTTTGAGTTGCTGACCTTATCATTAGCTGCTGTGCATTTAACCACTGTGCAAGACCTCATTAGGACAGCCCCAGTGCTTTGTTTTTCCTTTTAGACTTTTTTTTTTAATTAATAAACTGTTGAGGTTTTAGCCGAGATGTCTGTTACTAACTGTGAGGTCAACCATGAATTATAAATGCTTGTTGTTAAATAATTTAGCATTTTTAGATGTTGTAAGAAGAGATTTTTTTCAGGCTTTCAAGTTTGCCAAACCTGTGGGATTGGAAATCTATTGTCTACTTTTTAATTTTGTAGAACTTACTATTCGTAAGGGATCTCTGGCCTCGTAGTCTATAGGGAGTTGTGCTCCTATCTACAGGCGGCACCTTGCTAGGGGTTCAAATCCACTTGTGGCTCTGTAGAAGAAAGATGGACAGTCTCCTCCCATGCAATTTAGAGTCTCAGAAGCCTGCTGGAGGCTGATTTGTGAGTTGGTTTTAACCCAACGACAATGAGAGTTGTAATGGTCCTTGAAAAGTGTGGGTTTTTCTCCTTTTGTTAAATTATTTAAAAATAGATATATTAATCCATTCTTCTGTTTTAACAATTAAGACATGACATACAAGATAAGACTTTGACAGGATAATACCTTGATAATCCTTTTCCCTATTGTTGTTGTTATGTGTCGTTGAGTTGTTTGCAACTCATAGCAACCCTATGTTTAGAGCCGTAAACCCTGCTCTATCCTGTGCCAATCACATTGCCTCTGACACACCCATCCCGATTACCCCAGTCACTGAATCAGTCCACCTCATAGAGGGTCTTCCCCTCCTGCGCTGTGCCTCCACCCTACCAAGCATGATGTCCCTCTCCAAGGACC